CTGGAATGAGCTGCCCCCAGAGATCAGGGTGATCCCTGATCTCCCTTCCTTCCGCCGCGCCCTCAAGACATGGCTATTCCAACAAGCGGGACTGGCCTAGGGCAATTTTTAGAGGGGTTTTAATCATATTTTAATTAGACAACATTTAAATATTTCTTTTTAACTAATTTTAATTTTGTAATTGTTATTGGTGTATTTTAATTGATTGTCAGCCGCCCTGAGTCCGCAAGGAGAAGGGCGGGATATAAATTCAATAAATAATAATAATAATAATAATAATAATAATAATAATAATAATAATAATAATAATAATAATAATAATAATAATATCAAGTCTGTCTTCAAACGTTTAATAAAATAAAGTTTGGAATATAAATATTCTCTCTATCTTTAACATACCAGATATTACTTGAATATATTACAGCCTTCTATTCTGCCCCAATAGTGTAATTCTTTTAATGTTTCAATTATACAAGACAGATTTTAAATCATTGGCAAAAGAGAAGTGATATTTCACATATATACAGTATCATATTAATGAGGATATGGATGAGATGCACAAGTAATAATTTTTAACTTTCTTCTCTGAGAAATTAACTTTAGCTAGTAGGTGCCTTAAAAATGTAAATAATTCAGCTTTAGTTAAATGTTTTAACAATATCCTATATAAAAGACAGTAATGACAAACAAAGCAGTGAGTTTTATAGGAGTAAAGCCTTAACTTTTAATAACATCTGTATTACATTAAGTTTAGATTTCAAGGAATGAAATAATGGAAATATGTATATACATATATATATTTGAAATGATAAATAGAATGTAAATACCACAAATCCAAGAGTAGAAAGTGGACAGTGGAGTGTTACAATCTAAAAGAGGAAACAAAGTTTGATTCAGATCATTCCAGCTATGATATGCTTTGCTGACTTAGTACATAGATACTGAAAACAATTATGGATTTGTTCTAGAAAAGTGTGATCCAGCCACATATATTTAGGACTGCTGCAGTTGCTCCTTGGGGGGGGGGAGCTATGGCAAAGTTGTGTCCGACTCTTGGTGACTTTATAGGCAAGTGCTCTCCATGCTACCCTGTCAAGCACAGCTTCTTTCAATTTTTGGATGTTCAACTTTGTATCACAGTTGATGTTATCATGCCAACGTTTTCTTGCCCCTTCTTGTTCCACTAATCATTCCTAGCATCTTTGCCTTCTCCAATGAATTTGCATGTATGACATGGCCAAAGTAAATCAAATGTAGTCTTATGATTTTAGCTTCTAGTGATGGATCTGGTTTTATGCAATTTAACACCTCTCTGTTAGTTACTCTGGCTGTCCATGGTATAAGCAGTAATTTACACAAGCACCACAGTTCAAAGGTGCCAGTTCTTCTTTGATCAGCCATTCTTAGTGTCCAACTCTCACATCTATACATGATTATAGGGAAGACTATTGCTGTAACTAACGTGCTTTTTGTTTTTATAGCAATATCTCTGCTTTTCCAGATCTTATTCTTATTCTATGGCAAACCTAGACAGCATATTAAAAAGCAGAGACATCACCTTGCTGACAAAAGTTCGTAGAATCAAAACTATGGTTTCCCCAGCAGTAACGTATGGCTGTGAGAATTGGACCTCAAGGAAGGCTGAGAGTCAAAGAATTGATGCTTTCAAATTGTGGTATTGGAGAAGACTCTTGAGAATCCCTTGGCCTGCCAGATCAAATCAGTCGATCCTAAAGGAAATCAACCCTGGCTGTTCTTTGGAAGGACAGATACGAAGCTGAAGCTCAAATACTTGCCACCATATGAAGAGAGGACTCATTGGAAAAGACCCTGATGTTGAAAAAGATGGAAGGCAAAAGGAGTAGGGGATGGCACTGGATGAGATGGTTAGACAGCATCATCAACGCAAAGAACATGAATTCGGGCAGGACAGTGGAGGGCACGGAGTCCTAGTGTGCTGGGCTCCATGGGGTTGCGAAGAGTCAGACACAACGTAGTGACTGAACAACAACAAAACATATTGATAAAATCAAATCTGACAATATTTATTAGAAGAAATATAAATCTTTAAAAGATAAACTTTAGAAAATTGAATTAAAGTTACAACATGCCTCACATAGTTTATAGGTCTCTTGTCAATTGTTTAGCCTACAGCTTTAAGCACAGTCTGGAATTTGTTTATACTTACATTTCAAAGTGATTTTTAGTTATGTGGGAAATAGAGATTCTTAAAAAATTCTCTAGATATATAGCAGGCAAGAATTTTCTTTCAGCTTGGAGCTAAAAATGACAATTAACTGTTTAACATTTGTCTCTGCAAGTAAAATATAATATATGGAAAAGGGAGGTTGAGTATTTTCTTGTTTCCTTGATGTGAAGGCTTTTCCTTATTGAAAGATATCCAGCTGAGAAGTAAAAAGGCATATCATACCCCACTTGTCACACTTTTGCTGAACTTGGCAAGTAAGGCACCAGGAAGTGAATCAGACAAGGGGAGTTGAATAAAATTCCACTTAGATATGGAAATCGTTTCTATCATTAGAATCTCTAATGAATAAAATTGCAACAAATTCTGTGTCCCAAAGAAAATAAAAAATAGGTAAGTTTGACAGTTTCCTATACATTTTGGCAGCAGTCGTGTAGCTGTCTATTAAGCAAGAATAATAATAATTAACATGGTAGGAACTTGTCATTTAATTAGTGGAACTTAACACCATATAATAGCGTTGAATGGTTTTGCTATCAAATAGTTCTACCCATGTTGAGGGTAGAGAAGCTTATATTGTTATTGTGAAAGCAATAACAAAACTGCTGAACAACAAAAGGAATTAATATTATTTCAAAAGATCATCAGATTGCTGTAATTTCCTTATCTGCAATGCATTCTGTATGGGACTGTTTCTGAAGATGACGCAGAAACTTCCATTGGTCCAGAATAGGTGCTCATTTAGCACTGATGCTATAATTACTGCTTTGATTACTGTCTGCTTTTCAGCCAGGACAGTTGCTGGTCATTACAGACAAGCCACTCCTGTCTATCATCTGTCTATCTATACATCTGTCTATCCCAGCAAGATTCAGCCCACTTTTTTTAGAGGGAATGCTAAAAATGAAGGGAATGGGATAAGAAGCCAGTGATGCATCTCAGTTACTATACCCACAGTTTGGATTGGATAGTCTCCTGAGGTGTAGAATGCCCCTAACCTCCTGGTCTTTAGGAATTATTCTGCACAACAGTCAAGCAGTAAGGGTCACATGGTTGCCTTTAGATAGTTTAGGGGTTTTTTATTTTGTATTTTAATGTCATTATTTTGGGTTATTGTGCACCACCTGAATCAAAGAAAGCAGGTGATGTATCTTATAGTGTACAAATATATAATTTTCTAGAACCGGTGACTCAACCATCAAATTGTGATATCCAATAATTAGAATAATTTGTGAGATAAGATATGCTGTAGTATCTCCATAAAAATGCATCTCTCCCTGTCTCTCTCTCTCTTTCCCTCCATCTCTCTCTGTCTCTGTCTGTCTGTCTGTCTGTCTGTCTCTCTCTCTCTCTCTCTCTCTCTCTCTCTCTGTGTGTGTGTGTGTGTGTGTGTGTGTGTGTGTGTGTGTGTGTGTGTGTGTGTGTGTGTGTACATATGTTCTGGCATAAATGTTCTTGGGTACTTTCTTTTGCTACAAAACATTTACTTTTCTGGGGGAAGGTGAAGTGGTAATAGATGAGGATTCTAGAAATCTGAACATTTCTCTCTTACATTAAATTATAGAATATCATTTTTACGATTAGTGGACTTTATCTTATTATTATTTTAGATTGACTGATTTTTCTTCTTTGTGTTAAGATGATGTTTTGGGAATATCAGTATGTGCACTCCACTCTCTTCCTGGTTTTTTTTAAAAATTATCTCATGACCCATTACAGTCATTTTCATTTATAGCAGCACTTTTATTTTATCTCACAGCTTGTGATTTACAGTATTTATGGAGGTGGAGTGTACTGCATCAATTCACCTTCCATTTGTGTGTTGATGTGGCATTTATATTACATAGGAGTAATTTTTTTTCTGAATTTTTTTCTTGTATCACCAGTGCACCTATTCCATTCTTCCATCGCTGTGCTCCTGTGAACATTTCCTGCTATACCAAGTTTGCAGAAGCCCTGATCACCTTTGTCAGTGACAGTANGTATTCCAGTGGGATAAAAGTTGAATTGTTTTTAGTGTTTTCAGGCATGGAATTTTTTTAAAAAAGAGCTTTTTTCTTTTGTTTGCACTCCAGATGAGGTGGCAGTCCATACATACTGCAATTGCAGCAATGTACAGAAAATTGGCTGAAGGAATTATAAAACATTAAACACATTAAAAAGTGTCCATAAATAGCAAAACCAGTTAACAAAAAAACCTTTTAGAATTCCTGCACATTATCAAAAAGTTCAATGAATAGTATTTAAATCTACATTTTTTTAAAAAAAAATACTATTATCTTTATATTTACAGCTCTAATAAACAATATGTTTATTTGTAGTACTCAGTCTTCTTTAACTTGTAATTTTTTGCCTTTTATTCCAGCCATAGAACAAAACCTTGTTAATTTCAAGTTTGGAATACTTATGACAGGAGTTCTGAGGTCAACTGTTCAACCTGAGATGTTTTACACATCCCTAACTGAAAATGGCCTCCCGGAAAACTGGTTGCTTGCTTATTTATTCATTTGATGTTCATTTAAATAACAAATAAATCAGTGCATATGGTTGCTCATAAATCATGCAACTCTTGTGTAGCTAATTTTTAAAGCAGTAGGAAAAAATATAAACAAAAGTTAAAAGCTAAAGACAGTCAACAAAACTTTTCAATGAGTTAGTAACCCTTCCAACTCCCAGACCTTGGAGCATGTCCAGATCTTCATTGCCTTGCAAAAGGCCAGCAGGATATGAAAATACTGGACATGAAAATGGAGAATGCTAAACCATCTCTCTAGTTTTGAGTAAGCTCACAGGTTATGATCTCTGTAAACATTTATTAAGATAAAGATAATAAGATGATATTTTATTGTTAGTGTAAGACATTCACATACATTATTCCAGAAGCCACATAAATAATGAATGCAGTTTCATCAGCTTCCTTTAACTTCCTATTAAAAAAAAGATCATTGGTTTAAGCAGCCACAGTTTTAATTACTCAAAAGCTTGTAATAACTGGAATATTGGAAGATGCAATAACTTTTAGGTCAAATAGACTAAATAACAAATGCTTCTATTAAGTAAAAGGTCAAGAAGCACTTTGTAACATCAAACTTGCTTTTAAAAGATCGCTCAGTTTTTGAAAAGTTTTCTTAGAATTGAATCAGTTCAGAACAATGAAAGGTCTGTTTTTCTCATAAAACAGATTTGTGCAATATTTTAAAGCTGAGATCATGTAATGTAAGTTTTCAAGAATTAAAAATAATGGAATTATATGGATTATCCAGTATTTTCCCTGAGTATCTTGGGGCATTAAGTACAGATATTAAAACAGATTTCTATGCAAAAAGGGATCCCAAAACACGCCAACATTTTGGTAGGAGTAAAGAATCCTCTTATAAGTCCAAAAGAAGTTGAATTCTGAAGAAGCCAGAAACTGAAAGTAAGATGAATGCCCAATGACAAGCTGAAAGTATGAAAAATTAAATCACCTTGCTCAACTCAGTAAAAGTTACAGGATGCCATTGCAATAAAAAGTATATTCTGTTAATTCATTGAAAATAATCTGTAAGAATAAATGATAGCAAGGCCTCCCAAACCAATCTTAGTGTTAGAGTCACTGTTAATCAAATTTATTTTAACCCTAATGTTAAAAAAAATTGACTGGGTGGAACACTAAACAGGATATAAGCACAAATCTCAGAGCTATGAAATTTTCCTTATAAAGTGAGGAATATGAAAGTTCAAGATTAAAAGTAATAAACAAATTATACTTGTTTAAATTGTTGCTACAACCTATTAATATCAAGTCTGTCTTCAAACGTTTAATAAAATAAAGTTTAGAATATAAATATTCTCTCTATCTTTAACATACCAGATATTACTTGAATATATTACAGCCTTCTATTCTGTCCCCAATAGTGTAATTCTTTTAATGTTTCAATTATACAAGACAGATTTTAAATCATTGGCAAAAGAGAAGTGATATTTCACATATATACGGTATCATATTAATGAGGATATGGATGAGATGCACAAGTAATAATTTTTAACTTTCTTCTCTGAAAAATTAACTTTAGCTAGTAGGTGCCTTAAAAATGTAAATAATTCAGCTTTAGTTAAATGTTTTAACAATATCCTATATAAAAGACAGTAATGACAAACAAAGCAGTGAGTTTTATAGGAGTAAAGCCTTAACTTTTAATAACATCTGTATTACACTAAGTTTAGATTTCAAGGAATGAAATAATGGGAATATGTATATACATATATATATTTGAAATGATAAATAGAATGTAAATACCACAAATCCAAGAGCAGAAAGTGGACAGTGGAGTGTTACAGTCTAAAAGTTTGATTCAGATCATTCTAGCTATGATATGCTTTGCTGACTTAGTACATAGATACTGAAAACAATTATGGATTTGTTCTAGAAAAGTGTGATCCAGCCACATATATTTAAGACTGCTGCAGTTGCTCCTTGGGGGAGGGGGAACTATGGCAAAGTTGTGTCCAACTCTTGGTGACTTTATAGGCAAGTGCTCTCCATGCTACCCTGTCAAGCACAGCTTTTTTCAATTTTTGGATGTTCAACTTTGTATCACAGTTGATGTTATCATGCCAACGTTTTCTTGCCCCTTCTTGTTCCACTAATCATTCCTAGCATCTTTGCCTTCTCCAATGAATTTGCATGCATGACATGGCCAAAGTAAATCAAATGTAGTCTTATGATTTCAGCTTCTAGTGATGGATCTGGTTTTATGCAATTTAATCTGTTAGTTACTCTGGCTGTCCATGGTATAAGCAGTAATTTACGCCAGCACCACAGTTCAAAGGTGCCAGTTCTTCTTTGATCAGCCATTCTTAGTGTCCAACTCTCACACCTATACATGATTATAGGGAAGACTATTGCTGTAACTAACCTGCTTTTTGTTTTTATAGCAATATCTCTGCTATTCCAGATCTTATTCTTATTCTATGGCAAACCTAGACAGCATATTAAAAAGCAGAGACATCACCTTGCTGACAAAAGTTCGTAGAGTCAAAACTATGGTTTCCCCAGCAGTAACGTATGGCTGTGAGAATTGGACCTCAAGGAAGGCTGAGAGTCAAAGAATTGATGCTTTCAAATTGTGGTATTGGAGAAGACTCTTGAGAATCCCTTGGACTGCCAGATCAAATCAGTCGATCCTAAAGGAAATCAACCCTGGCTGTTCTTTGGAAGGACAGATACGAAGCTGAATCTCAAATACTTTGGCCACCATATGAAGAGAGGACTCATTGGAAAAGACCCTGATGTTGGAAAAGATGGAAGGCAAAAGGAGTAGGGGATGGCACTGGATGAGATGGTTAGACAGCATCATCAACGCAAAGAACATGAATTCGGGCAGGACAGTGGAGGGCACGGAGTCCTAGTGTGCTGGGCTCCAGGGGGTTGCGAAGAGTCAGACACAACGTAGTGACTGAACAACAACAAAACATATTGATAAAATCAAATCTGACAATATTTATTAGAAGAAATATAAATCTTTAAAAGATAAACTTTAGAAAATTGAATTAAAGTTACAACATGCCTCACATAGTTTATAGGTCTCTTGTCAATTGTTTAGCCTACAGCTTTAAGCACAGTCTGGAATTTGTTTATACTTACATTTCAAAGTGATTTTTAGTTATGTGGGAAATAGAGATTCTTAAAAAATTCTCTAGATATATAGCAGGCAAGAATTTTCTTTCAGCTTGGAGCTAAAAAAGACAATTAACTGTTTAACATTTGTCTCTGCAAGTGAAATGTAATATATGGAAAAGGGAGGTTGAGTATTTTCTTGTTTCCTTGATGTGAAGGCTTTTCCTTATTGAAAGATATCCAGCTGAGAAGTAAAAAGGCATATCATACCCCACTTGTCACACTTTTGCTGAACTTGGCAAGTAAGGCACCAGGAAGTGAATCAGAGAAGGGGAGTTGAATAAAATTCCACTTAGATATGGAAATCGTTTCTATCATTAGAATCTCTAATGAATAAAATTGCAACAAATTCTGTGTCCCAAAGAAAATAAAAAATAGGTAAGTTTGACAGTTTCCTATACATTTTGGCAGCAGTCGTGTAGCTGTCTATTAAGCAAGAATGAATAATAATAATTAACATGGTAGGAACTTGTCATTTAATTAGTGGAACTTAACACCATATAATAGCGTTGAATGATTTTGCTATCAAATAGTTCTACCCATGTTGAGGGTAGAGAAGCTTATATTGTTATTGTGAAAGCAATAACAAAACTGCTGAACAACAAAAGGAATTAATATTACTTCAAAAGATCATCAGATTGCTATAATTTTCTTATCTGCAATGCATTCTGTATGGGACTGTTTCTGAAGATGACGCAGAAACTTCCATTGGTCCAGAATAGGGTGCTCATTTAGCACTGATGCTATAATTACTGCTTTGGTTACTGTCTGCTTTTCAGCCAGTACAGTTCCTGGTTGTTACAGAACAAGCTACTCCTGGATATTTACATCTGTCTATCCCAGCAAGATTCAGCCCACTTTCTACATTTTTTTTTAGAGGGAATGCTAAAAATGAAGGAAATGGGGTAAGAAGCCAGTGATGCATCTCAGTGACTATACCCACCGTTTGGATAGTCTCCTGAGGTGTAGAATGTCCCTAACCTCCTGGTCTTTAGGAATTATTCTGCACAACAGTCAAGCAGTAAGGGTCACATGGTTGCCTTTAGATAGTTTAGGGGTTTTTTCATTTTGTATTTTAATGTCATTATTTTGGGTTATTGTGCACCACCTGAATCAAAGGAAGCAGGTGATGTATCCTATAGTGTACAAATATATAATTTTCTAGAACCGGTGACTCAACCATCAAATTGTGATATCCAATAATTAGAATAATTTGTGAGATAAGATATGCTTGTAGTATCTCCATAAAAATGCATCTCTCCCTGTCTCTCTCTCTCTTTCCCTCCATCTCTCTCCGTCTCTGTCTCTC